CAGACAGGCGCAGACAGGCGCAGACAGGCGCAGACAGGCGCAGACAGGCGCAGACAGGCGCAGGCACATTTTTGACGTGCGTACGGAGAATACTAGTGTACCGTGTACGGAGGTGGGGATGGAAAGATCCCGGACCCTACACACTACACAAAGACGTGACGGAATCATTGCTTTCGTCTTGGTCTTCAGCTGGAGGGAAGAGGATCAATCTCCTTCTTGGGGAGGGCCGTCAAGGCCGTCGTCCACTGCCGGCCACAGCTCGTATCCCTCCCTACCATGCCCCGTACTCGTTCTGGGCATGGGATACCCAGCTTAGGGGATTCGCATTTGCAACCGGCAAAACTTCACCAAGTCGATCCGAGATCAACTGCTAATCAGATCCTACTCGTACGGGGTATTTGAGCAGCACCGATGGTCATGTCGACGGGTCTAGACTGTACGATGGTCAAAAGCGAACAGGAGACAGCTGATCCGATGTGGCAAAAGAAGCTGATACGCGGTCCGTGTTTTGAGGGTGTTTGAAGGAGCGACTCCTTCCGCCTCGGCGACGCCCTCGCCTTTGATTCGCTTCCGTAGTACAACGACAAGGCAGGCCAGAAGTCTGAAGTCTTCGTGTCGTGTCATGTTCTGGTTCAGATATTGAGTCTCTCATTCAGCTGTCTTGTTGGTCACTATGAACATGCTTTTCGGTGATCTGGGCTGATCCCGCACGCCCGCCTCCAAATCAATCCCGTCTTGGTGGCCTTTGCTCGAGGCCTTTTGCTGCTTACTTCACCAAATCACTCTGCCCGCAAACGCAGAAAGCCGCGGATACTGGTTATACACGTCTATCACGTAGAAAGAAAAATAAAAGAGATATTGCTGTAGTCGTTGGGGACAGCCCGACTTGGTGACTTCCCTTTCCATCATTTGGCCGTGGTCGTCAAAAGACTTTGGCGAGATCAGGCATCGTAGTCGCGAGCAGCAAAGCGTCCTCGTCCCCGTCCAAAGCGCCCTCGTCCGCCCCGGCCACCAAAGCGTCCACTCGAGGTTGAGCCATCTGCAGCAGTCGTCTCGGCGGCCGCGGCAGCAGAAGTCGTAGAGGCTCCGGCACCGCCGTTGTTGCCAGAGTCACCACCACCGTTCCCTCCGGCATTACTGGCGGCCGTCGTGGTTGCTGCAGCTGCGGCAGAGGTTGATGTTGAGGAGGTATCAGCGTCGCCGCCAGTGTTGCCGCCGGTATTGCCAGTGTTACCACCAGTGTTGCCGCCGGTATTTCCGCCAGTATTGCCGCCAGTGTTGCCGCCAGCGTTACCGCCGGCGTTGCCACCGGCGTTGCCACCGCCTTGACCAACGGTAAATTTCTGGCAGTCATCCTGAGCACCGCGTTGAGCGACCTAGCACTGTATTAGTCTCAAATTCACTCATGAGGCGTCAAAATCCACAACTTACGGGCATGAGCACAGGCTGATGGTTGGAAGCAGAGTTCATGGTGCAGACACGGTAGAAACCAGCAGGGAGACCATCCGTCACCGTAGCCTGGAGAAGACCTTGGCCATTTCCAGCGTCGTTGATACCCTTGAAGAAAGCAAAGGTCTTCGGGTCGGGAGGCTGCGTCGGGGCCAGGTCGTTACCGAGATCCTGAACAGTGACGTGGCAGTGACCAATGACATTGCCACCTTGCAGTTGCTGCGGAGCGGCATAGTAGGTGGTGAGAGGGTCAGTGAAGGATCCAGCGACCAAATTGGTAAGTTGCACTTGGATGTTGAAGTCTTCGTTTGGCGTTAGATCGTCCCCGGGGCCTGGGAAGAGAATGATTGACGAGATCATGTTGTTGTTCGAGGGAATGTCACCCATGACCACGCCGTTGCAAGAACCACCGGTGGCTTGCGTTCCATTCGTCAGCGTCTTGCCTGTGCAGAAGTTGATGAAGTTGGCAGGGTCACTGTTGTCGTGTTAGCCATACCGATCAGCACCACAAAGTCATTCTCACGTACGTCTCGGAGTTCGCTTGTTCGGCGTTGGGGTTGCCAACAAAGTTGCTGGCAGTCTGGACATTTGCATCCAGCAGCGTTAGACCGCCGTTGCCGCCTCCATTGCCTCCTGCATTGTTGTTCCCACCTCCGTTTCCAGCAGCGGCAGTGTCAGTGTCGTCTGCGGCCTGGTTATTGTTTCCCCCACGGTTTCGCGCGTTGTCTTGGGCCACCGCTCCTGTCGTGAGCCCAAAGGCAGCAACTGCCAGAGTCAAAACCTGAGATGTCTTCATTGTGTCGGAATAGGTTCTGGTTAGGTAAAGAAAAGAGGTCTTTTGAAGTGGAATTGGGGTGCGGAACGAAGAGAGCAATTCGAACGAACGAGAGACTTCGCGGTCAACGCGGTCTGAACCAGAAAAGGAGTGTATGGAAGAAAACTGGTTGAATGCTTCAATACAATCAATGCGAAAGGAATGTCAGGCACTGCCGATGAAGAGAAGAAGCTTTGAGATGCGACGGAGGAAACGACCTCTTATGCATTCTGCTTGGCAAAGGTCTCAGGTCCGCTCGGGCCGGCCACGTCAATGCGGACGCTGGAAGTGTGGCCCATGGTGATCTCTTCTGAGGCTGCAAATGTTTCCAAGGTGGAGGATGACACAAAAAAGGCTCACTAGGTGTGCTGGTGCCTCAGGTCCTGGAATGTGTAGAACCAGGATCGAAGGTTACAGGTTGGTCGAGTCTAACGCCGCAGTGCGGTCGTGACGCGGATCAAGCATTGCCAATGTTTTGGAAACACAGTTAGCCTGCTTGGAATCGAGACAGGATCGAGGAAAGACGAGAGCGAGGAGTCTGAAGCTGAAGCTGTGAGGGTTTCGAATCGTGTCGGAGAATCAAAGGAGCAACAGGCGAGTCTGAAACGGGCGGCTGGAGCGAACACCCCGGCTAACTCGGCCAATTGGCTCTAGACGAGCTGTTAAGCCTTGTTAAATCGGTGTGGCTAGCCATATATGGTCTGGGTTCCACGTTAGACTGCCCGCAGCCGCGTTTAGCTTCGACTAGTGAATCACGCTGGACTCCCTCCCGCCGCCTCCTGGTTTCCCCTGTTGACGTCATTAACCCTCTCGCATTTCTTCCTCACCACCAACCACTTCACCACTTCACCTTCACCTCACCCTCACCTCACCCTGCAATGTCCTTTGAACGTCCTCCGCCATGACAGATCTCCACGCAGGTGCCGCCCCATCCGACTCCGCCATCTGCAACGCTTACAAAGTACACCACGTTTGCTCTCGGTTCTGCTTGCCGTGCCTCTGCCATAAATAACCCCAAACACGCACCGTGCCTACCCTGGCTACCCCGTGCGTGGGAGCATCTCCTACTTTGTACGACTCGGCGTGCGACTATCTCCTGGACCCCACGATCTCGTGCTTCTGCACGACAGAAGTCTTGAAGCCCAGGCTCAAGCTTTTGATCAAGCTTTGGTTGCCGCGATAACCGACTCGGTTTCTCCCCGGACTCAACATGAAGCGCTCAGTGGTTTGAATCCCTCCGAGCGGTCGTATACTAACCCTTCTCGTCTGCTTCGTAAAGGGTCCGATGCGCCTGGACCTCAGCTAAGCTCATGTATCACGGCTGACGTAGCATGACGCAGAGAACTACACCCAAGCGCTTTGAGTCTGTGCCCTCCCCACCTTCCATGTACATGTACCACATGGTTACGACGGACGACCAGCCTCTTGCTCAAAGTCATGACTACGCGCCACTCCCTCGCGTTGCAGGGGGCCTGTGGGAACAGAAACGCTTATCCGTCAACGTCCTTACGCTGACCGGAATCGTCATCGCCGTTCTCTGCGCCCAAGGACACTCGAACATCCGTGCAAGAAATGCTTGTTTATTGCACTCGGTATCAGACCTACCCGCTCATCGTGGACCAGAAAATCCAAATCCAGACTCCGTGGTCACGAAAAGCTTCCCAGCTTCGCCTCTGCCCTTCTACCACCCATGAGTGGGCAGATGGCAGTTATGTCCCCGTAGCACACACCTGAAGAATCAGAACCCGATGACATCTCCTTTGAGCATCAAATTCGCCCTGCCCGACAGAATGACACTTGCAATGCTCTTCTTCCCGTCCGCTTCGGTCTTGACATCGACCTCGACAGCGATGGTACAAAGCCTGCCCATCTCGGCACCTTGCTGAATACCGAACACTTTCCTCTCAATCTTCGTATCTCCTACTTTTAGGCCTTCGGTCTTTTTGACCAGGTCTGCATTAGCAGTAGGCTTCCCTTCCTCGGTCGATGCGGCTGGCTGTGGCGACGCCTCAGGAGGATTTGTCTTTTGCTCAGACGCAGCCTCCTGACTCTGGCTATGCAAAGCCAGGTAGCAACTCAATGCCGAGCAGGCACTGCCAGTCCCCGGATCCTCGATCCCATGACTGATCATCCTCGCTTGAATATTATGGATCGCAGGCTCGCCAGGGACCTCGCTTTTCGCGAGTACCTTATAATACATGCATCCGACAAAACTCGGAGCCCATTCGTCGTCAAGTTCCACTTCCGGTGATTTCCCTGCTTGCAACGCGGCAAAGATCTCCGGGTTGTCCGTCAAATCGACAAGCACAAAGGTCATGCCCTTCACAATGCTGACGAGCGGGAAGCTACGACCCCGTTCCTTGTCGATCGTCGGCACAATCTGAACGTGAGGCTGCGTGCTGATGATCTTCTCAATGTCCACCTTCTTCGAGTGGACATGATAATTGGTGGGCACGACGCACGCGGCGACCTGGCGGTAAGGGTTGAAGAAGATGGGGATGCGCCCTGCTTTTGTGAGCAACGTGGTGGTTTGCTTCTGGCTGTCGCGCGTCGCAACGTCGTAGTTTATCTTCTCGAGATAGTTGAAGATCTGAACCGCCGAGTCAGTGATTATTTGCTTCCCTGTGGTCATGGCTTCCGCGGTCAAGTCGGAAGGTCTCTCACGTAATATGCGGTGCCAATGATCTGGTGGTGGTTTTCTGTCAGCCGTCCGTCGTCCTCTCGGCTCACGCGCCAAAAGAAGACCTTACCGGATGTCCCGCAAAGGGTAGCTCTTCTCCCGTCTCGGTGAAGATCTCGAGCAATCTCGGCTGCCCGGGTCCCGGCGCGTCGTGCAGGAATACTGTCTCGGAGAACTTGAACTCTCGCGCGAACTGGGCTTTTCGCTTCTGCGAGAGAGCATTGCCGTGCACGGAAACCAGCGCGAGCGGGTTCCCCTGGAATTTCTCGGGCGAGAAGACCTAAACAACGCACAGGGGCGGTCAACAGAGAGTACGGATAAGGTCTTTGTACAAACACCAGGGGCCCCGGGTCGGCGAGCACGAAACGACAGAATTCGTCCCTTCGGATCCGTCAAGATTCGTAATGCCCAAACCACCCCATATCTACCGTAGCACAGACACCACCATCTCGAATTTTCAATATCGCTCCACAACCAGATATCTTGCATATAATCGCAGGATGAACAGTGCCACAGTGCATTCCAACTTACCACCATCGTCACAAATGTTAGAGGTCCGGAGGCCATTGTAAACCCACTGTGTCCCGGTGTTTCGGCTTGCAGGGCCAATCGCGTGGTGAGTCGTCGAAGAGGTTCTGTTCCAACGTCCTAATTGTTCCCTAGCTGTGTACAGGTGGGGCTGTATAACGCATGATATGACGGTCCAAATCCTCGCGCCCTGTTATGCTGACTTCGAAGCGACGTCGACAGGGCGGTTTGCGGGGCAGGTTGGTACAGTCCAAACACACAGTAAGCATGAGAGAGTGATACTCTGTTTCGGCGAATGAAGCTCGCCGATCAGCGAATCGGAGTGAGGATTTTTTTGGGGGAGGGGGGGTTTTCACGGATCAATGATGTTCCGCCAACGGTGCATGCCATCGAGAGCCACCACGGGCCGAGCATGGCGTTACTTTGTACTCAGTGTGTGCTTGGGACTGTGTGACAGGCACGACAGGGTACTACATATCAGCGTGAGATACCGGTCAAGTAATTTAGAGCTACGCAATGCCTTCACCGCACCCAGTCATGTCATCAATGCCACGAACAGCATTCCAATATCTCCAACCTCAAGCGGCGAGCTCTTCCCTGAGAGCCGCCTCCAAAGAATCCATGGCCCGACAGTGACACTCCACGCCCGACCTGGACAGGATGATGCTCGAATACCTACACACGCGCGACACCTTGCGCGGGGGCGGACACGTTACACCATCGATCTCCACGACCGGGTGCGATGGATAGACTATCTTCGACTTGTGGCGAGTGAAGGAGCAGGCTGCAACCGTGGAATGCTGGCCTCTGACTACTCCGTATGAGTGTGACGCTACGAGGTAAGGCACTGCGAGGTAGTACAGGAAGTAACCCGTGGTGCTGGGCTCGATGAGTATGAGCACTGTGTATAGTCAGCCCTACAAGAATGCACGCCAAGGTCAGGATCAAAGTCAAGGTCCAAGACCAGAGATCTCCCAAAGAAGCGATGCTGTATACTCGCACACAACTGTCTGTCCACCATCCGTACTGGCCATTCATGTAGAGGCACGGAGGAAGTGCTTTTCGCAACGGGGCGCCCGAAAGCATGCGTGGGGAGGGAGCTTTTCCTTGCCGTTGTCCTACGAGTAACTGTACTGTATTCCGCCGTTCGGTTTATGTATCTCTACTCTCAAATCGCCCGTCTTTTGTCCTACTCGTACCGCATTCCACCAGTTCGTTTCAACTAGCTCTACTCTCAAATCGCCCATCATCGGCAGAGACCTTGCTCGTACCAGCCTCGCCGGCATGGCCCAACATGACTCTGTTTTCAAGATTTCGGGTATGTACCGCGTGTCTGGCGATGGGCTCCCAGCTTCAACGGTTCAATCACGGGTAAATCGATCAGGGAAGGGAGGGACTAACCCTATGTACACAGTACTTTGTGTCGAGTACTGCGCTCATACAGATCCTGTGTACGAGCTAAAGTATATCGGCCGTCATCACTTTACTTTCTAGACTTTGATATCGCAGCTAGCATTGTGACTGGGAAGGTTACCGGACGGTTGGCCAGGTAGGTAGCGCCAAGGGGTATCATCGACTGTAACCCGCTTTGTACGATACCGTATTGTTTATGTACGCCTCAATAAGGTACCTAACTACCTTATACTACGTATAGTCAGGGCTCTCCCCAGAACACAATGAACACGGACGGCCATGGCCATGAGCGCAAATGAAAGCCCAAACATAGCAAGGTCAGATCTTGCTTTTCAGGCGGTGGCATTTAAGATAACACTCCAGATGATGCAGACGAAGGAGAGTGCTCTTCACTTACAGGGTGGCTCACTCATTTGCAAGTCACTGTCAGTGGCCAGACAGAATATGCTTCTATGCCCCTGCTCGTAACTTCGGTGTCCATTGGAGTTAGTAGTTAAGTAGGCCCCCCGGTGCAAGCGGAACAAATCCCTGCCGGTGAAATCTGTAGTGTTCACATTGTCCATTGATATATTGTACAAGGAGCGGTAGATGAGTGGGAAAATGTCATTTCCGTCGCTTCATAACCTTGACACACATCTCCTCCAGGCCTTCTTTGGCCTCTCCAGCCGGGAAGGAACTGATGGACGAAATGGCCTTGTCGGCATATTCTTGCGCGAGAGCACGCGTTTGCTCAAGCCCGTCGCTTTGCGAGACAATATCTCGTGCCTGTGAACAACCGTCAGCCTTGGACTTCCGCTACGCTCCGCAGACAATCGGTAACTCACCTTCTGTACGTCGCCTTCCTCGGCAAACTTCCTCCCTACCAAGACACCCAATTCGGGCCTATCCCTCCACGCGAACAACAAGGGCGCGGTTGCCAGTCCAAGTTCCAGATCTGCACCCGCCGGCTTCCCCAGCTCGGTGCCACTAATGGTGTAGTCCAACATGTCATCCACAAGCTGGAACGCCAGCCCCAGATTCTTGCCATACTGGTAGGCTGCCTCGACGACGTTCGGGGCGCATTGACCCAGCAGCGCTGCTGCACGACAACTCTTGCTGATCAGACTGGCTGACTTCAAATATGTCTTCTGCAGATAATACGAGATGGTCTGTTCGCTCCAACTGGGATTCTTCTCGTCACTTGCAGTGTTTTTCAGTTGCATGAACTCTCCTTCCACCAAGTTTGCAATTACAGTGGCTAGTAGTTCGGTGACTTCTGGATCCCGTAATCGAGCAAGCGCAACCGAGGCGCGGCCGAGCATGAAGTCACCAGCTAAAACAGCCATCTTGTTCCCAAAGGTGGTGTTCGCCGAGGGTGCCGAGCGGCGGGTGGTAGAGTGGTCTATCACATCGTCGTGCAGGAGAGAGGCCGTGTGGATGAGCTCGGTGATCTCTGCCAGTCGCCTCTGGGACGGGAGAATAGAAGCATCGTTGGGAAAGGCATACTCTCCCCCGGTTGGGGCGTCCATCAAGGGCGACAGAGCCGGGGTCGAACTGAGATGTGCTTGGTCTGGATTCTTGTCGAATAATACGGACGGAGAGGTTATCGGGGTGTCAATAGCACTCCTCGAGATGGTATGTTGTACATCGTATCTTGGCCGGGGTTGCTTCGCCGCAAAAGCAGTGGCTCTTGACATCAACAGCACCAAGAGTGGCCGAACGTGCTTCCCTTCGCTCTGTGTATAGTATTTCGCGACGGTATCGAGGATCGGGTGTCCCGAGCCGAGCAGCTGTCTGATGTTCTTGCTCAGAAACTTCAACTCTTTCGCGACTATCTTGAGCGGGTCAACGGTGATGTTGCCCGTGGGCTGGCGGGCATTCGAGGGAAGGACGTCCGCGACAGTTTCCTGGATCTTTTGGACGGCGGCGGCCCATGATTGCTGGTCTTTCGAAGTAGAGAAGAGACGCTTCGGCCGGAGGAGCAAAGATCGATTCTGTGATCTCGTCAAGCACCGTGGGCAGACTGGTGCATGTAGCGTCAATCGGGAAGAAGCTGTCGATGGTATACTGAGCGCTGGGGTTAAAATCGCCGTAGGCTTGCGAGAAATGCGTCCTCGGCCACCCATGGCTGCGAATGACATAGGTGAAACGGGACAATCAAGGCGCCATGGAGATGTACAGCGTAGGTAATACAACGACGAAATACAAGAGTTGAGCGAAGTGCGCAACCACGGGGGAGGCAATGTACGAGTCCTGAGAGCCTTCGAAATGCCGCGCAGTTGACTTTTTTGACTGCGATTTGGAGATTCCACGCGAGCACGCTTGAGCAAGCATGCAAGAATTATGTAAGCTGAAGCTCTTCTCGGTGTTCTCATTGGTAGGTGGCTCAGTGGCTATCCCCAACCGATGAGCAGCCAGGCAGTTGAGGCGTGTCTGATCGATATACGGTGTCCTGCGCTGCCGGGTGCAGCAAGTGATGATGACCTCTCTTTGCCGGTAATCTCGCCACTCGTCCATACCCGAATACGTCCAAATATTCGGGTCACCACACTTGGCCCGATGTCTCCGCCCGCTCTGCTCAGCTTCCTCCGGCTTGATCCTACTCTTCCACCTGCACTCGCCAGTGTCATCCTATCCGTGCTCGTGGTAAGGGACCGAAGCATTAGGAACCGAGGGGGCTGGTACGTGATAATGCCTCTACCCATTGTATCGTCCATAATGTTCCTGGTCCTCTCTGAGCTGATCCCTGCGATCAGTGCGCTGGAGAGCTGTAGAAACGTCGCCCTTCAATACTGCGAGTTCTTAGTTGTCTTTCATGCCAATTTGTCATCCAGTAGGATTCATAGGATCCGGGTTAGGCTCATTTAACCACTTCATTTCACATCGTTCTCCTCGACCCAGTCGCGCCATTCCTGCCATTCCGCATACGTCGCACTCGCTTTTAGCCCGGTATACCTGATGGCTTTGAAGTCCTGGACCTCTTCCCATGGCTTTGGAGGTGGAGACTGTGGCTCGCTTCCATTGCCACCTCCCCGGATTGAACCTCGTAGAAGCCTTCGCGCAACGCCGTGACCCCCAGCATAGCCCCCGTCCCAGCCTGCCTTCTTCATCAAACTCTCGACAGTCTCTTCCTTGGTCCAGCCCTGCTCGACTGCCACGTCCGGCAAATACGTAGCCCCGTGCCGTCGGTTGCGGTAGTTGAAGCTAATGCGCAGACCATGGACGCCCAGGGTCCAGTCCATAGCATCTTTGCAGGGCTCGAAATCGGCCAGTAATGTCAGAGAACAGGAGAGCGCGGGTAACAGCGCCGCCGGGATAGGTGAGAATCGTGTGTCGTCAAAGGCGGATGTAAGTGCATAAGTAGCCAGGCCCGAGGCGAGCGGAAGAGCCTCGAAGGTACCTATGCAGCCTCGCAGGGACTTGTGCCCGGATCGAGAATGGGTGTTCCACGTCACAAACAGTGGGAAGGATTCAGTAACGGAGAGCCGTGAGGCGTAAGATGAGCGTGTGGAAGGGCTGATGGATGTGGCACTGGAAGGAGTGGCGAGCTGAGAGTTGGACGAGTCGGCAGAGAGGACTGACGGGGAAGATGCTGAAGAGGACCTTGATGATGAGCTTGAAGCCTGTAAACGAGAGATGCTGGGTATCTGGAGTCCAGCCTTGTTGCCGGGATTGCGACGCTCGAGGCGTTGGATGTCCTCTTCACTAGGCTCCTCCTCGTCTCCATCTTCGTCGTCATGCGCGTCCTCTTCCTCATTGACTAACGTGTTATCTGCTCTTTCGTCTGCTCCGCCGACATCCTCTGAGGGTGCAGTGGCTGACTTGTAAGCCTCGTACAAATCGAGCACTTTCTGAAGGGTGGGCGGGTCGCGGCGTTCAAAGCTGGCGGATAGGACTTCAAAGCAGTAGAAGCAATGGGCAGGGCTTGCCATCACACAGTCTGGCGCAGTGGAAGCGACGCTGAGAGGCGTAAGACTGGGCTGTCTTAACGTCGACCAGGATGAGGATCAGAACCTTAGGCAGGAGTAGGAGCCCGGGGCGCAGGCAGTACAAGTACGGAACTTGTTTCGTAGGCTACAAAGCGACGGTGAGCAAGCGGTAGAGTTTGGCGGCAGGGAAACCCGGAACCGCGAACAGGAAACAGGCGCAAATGAGGGACAATGAGGGCCGGAGAGCGAGCGTCGGAGGTAAGAGCAGGGCAATAGACAGACACGAAAGGAAGGCTGCTGGAGGTGTCGGCGGGCGTTTTGGGCGGGTCTGAGGGTCTGAGGGTCTGGGTCTCGTCGTTATCGATCGATCTTCCACGCGTGGGGGAGGCAAGCACATGTTGTCAGCTACGAGTACGGTCCCCACTGTGAACACCAGCTCGATGCGTCGTTCAACACATGATTCATGATAGCTGTGGCAAGGGAGTATCGACCCTGTGTACGCCGGTACCTTGTTAACTCATTTCCAGGCGTCCACGTAGCCGCCAACACTAATGCCCAAGCCTGCATCACTCTGACTCGCTGAATTGCGGCCACCAGCACCGGGCAGTGGACTTCTCGTCGAGCTTCTGTCTCGGCTGGTTTCTGTCCTCGACACCCTGCCTGCTTCTGGGTCGCCATCACTTTCGTCGTCCTGGGGAACCAACCTCACCGCACCTCCTCCCTTCCCTCTTCTTTCGTCTGCCCGGATCTTGTCCTCTGCTCGCCTCTTCTCCCACTCCGCAACCAGGTTGCGATAGTAAACCTCTGCCTGGACAGTAATGCTGTAAAACTGCGGCGTCCACCCAGCCTTGTTCTTACGCATCGGATCCGCGCCCGCCTGGATCAAGGCCCGCACCGCCTTTAAATTCCCCCAAGCAGTGGCATTGTGGAGAGGGGTGTTTCCCTGTTCGTCTTTCGCGTTCACATCCGCTCCATGCGCCAGCAGTGTCTCGATCGTGGTATTGTCTTCCGGCGACTGGGCTGCCGGTCGTGTAGAACCATTGCTGACAACGTTCCTGAAATTCGGCTTGGGCGTGATCTGTGAGGACGAAGCGAGGTGAAGGGGAGTCTGGCCTTTCCGGTCTTTTCGGGTTACCGTCTGCGGAAACTCCCTGCAGAGCAGTGCGACCAGTTCGGCTCGTGAATGAGCTGCGGCCAGGTGTAGAGGCGTCCTCCCATCTGTGTTGATCGAGATACCGAGATTGTCATGCGTGTTGCTATAGATCCAGTCTTCAACTGGTCGAGTGCAATCGTGACCGAGCGATATCAGGAACTCCTGAGCGGAAGATCAGCCTCGTGCAACGACGCCTCTTTGACATGCGTACCTACGGCGATCTCTTCTAAACCATGTTGAGCAGCGAGATGCAACGAGGTATTGCTCTTGTCAGCGTAGTCTGGGTTGTGGAGATACGTCGGATTGTTCCTCAGGATCCGCTCGACCAAGGCAATATCGTTCAGCAGGATAGCCTGCCGTAACGCCAGGTCAACTCGGGTTGCCATAGAGTCGTGCTCCCTTAGTCGGAAAAGCTGCTGGTAGCATGGCAAGTCTAGGGCCTGAGCACACCCCACATCAGCCGTTCATGCCAACACAATAGTGGGTAATAAACACAGGACCGATCTTTAAAGAACAAGAAGCCATTTGCGGCGCGGGGCGAAACTCAGGCTTCGTGCGCCTTGCTTCTCCACAGTTCGCGAGGCTGTGAATGAAAGGTACCTAAGTAAAGGCCTGGTGCAACGGCTACATCATGCCGGGATATTTGTATAGTGTTACAGAAGTCTCGCAATAGTCTAATGGACGAGAAGACAGCAGCCGCGGGCTAGTTGACTGAAGAACCAAGATCTGACACATTGTTACGCATCTCTCCAACGCCAGCATGGTATGGTGCTCATTTGCTCTTCTGTGCGTCTCTCTCTGCCTTTCTCAGGGCTCTTCTCCGGATGGCCACGTGCATACTCCTGTTGTAGCCCAGCAGGAGACTGTTCATCGGGCCCACCACACCAGTGACCACTGCTGCAACCAGGGCATGGCTCCAGTAAGGGCTGCCGCTGTATGGGTAGCCCACACTGCCTCCTCTTCGCCCGATTTTCGCCAGAGTGGACTTGACAAAAGCCTTCTCTGTCGGGACTTGCCAGTTTGCCCGGCGGATCTTTGACATAGAGGAGGTGACAAGATACGAGTGAACGAAGAACACTTCGATTCCACTCGGCGCCAGCTCAGAAGCCATGGCATTGGACCAATGCTGCAAGAAGGCTTTGGATCCAGAGTATGTGGCTAGTAGGGGGGTGGGCGTCAATCCACCAAATGATCCCATGGTCAATATCAACCCCTTCTTTTGTGGTAGCATGCTTGGAAGCACCGTCTGGGTCGCGCGCAGCGTCCCCAGGCAGTTGATATTGATTATGTTCGTCATCTCGGACAAGGGTGTCTCGGTGAACGGGACGGGAATGCTGTGACTTTGGCCAACGTTGTTGATCAGGATAGCCACCTTCTTTTCCCGTAGCAGCGAGCCCAACGCAGCGTAGTCCTTGTCAAGATTCTGCGAGAAGTCCATGGCTAGTGTTTCCACCGAGACATCGGGGGAGGAGGTCCGGATCTGGGAGGACAAGGAATCGAGCTTCGACGCGGTTCGGGATACCAGGACCAAGTTGAAGCCCTTCTTGGCCAGCTGTAAAGCATATTCTTTTCCGATGCCATCTGATGCGCCTGTTATGACTGCCCATGAGCCTTTGGGGCCAAACGAAGAGAGCTGTTGAGCGCGGTTTAGCACGTGTACTTTTGCAGCTGCTTTAGAGTGAACTTACGGATCTTCCAGGCAAGATGAACGTGCTTAGCAGCACTCTCGTGGTGGTAAACACGACAGTTGCAAGCGTGAGCGCGCCAACCCCAATGAGTAAAGTCGAAAGTAAACTCTGTTGGCCCAGAGGCCCCATGTCAACTGTAGAATTCATACTCGTTGTCGCTAGACTATTGCACCGATCTCTGAGTTGTTTGGACAGCTTTGAATTCCAGGCCGGTTTTTGAAGTTGCAGAAGACGAGGTGGGAAAGGGGTTGGGGATAAGAGTTTACAAAAAATCCTCCGCGTCAACAAACCAACGTCAATCAGTAACGGTTTTATTGAAGCTGACCAAACTCTTCAGCTTCCGACAAATGCGAAGAGCTTCTGGTTGTGCTTTGGCCGACTGAGTGTGCAGAGTACTTGTGTTGAGCATACACTGTCAATATTGATCATGTCGTCACTTCTGCCCCAATCCGAGGGATACCTCCCACTCTACATCTTATTCGTGAGTTACTACGCCTTGAGTGTTTCCAGACCGCTTGTCTAACCCTTGTCTTCAGGTGGGCGTTACCGCCATCGGCAATGCCATCCAATGCTACTTCACCATGTCCTACACCCAGCGCCTTTACCCTGGTACGCCATCCTCGAGCCAGACCAAGGACAAAGCCAATCCGGCAGTCACCTCGCCCGCAACACCTCTCTCGTCGAGGACTTTTGGCACCTGGACGGCGGCAGTCGGAATTGTAAGATTGTTTGCGGCATACCACATCAATGAGCCGGCATGGTACCAGATGCAAACCCTGACCAATATTATTGGTCTCGTCCATTTCGGTCTGGAAGCATTTGTCTATAAGACGACTCAACCGTCAGGGCCATGGCTGGCTCCAGTCACTGTGGCATTGATTGGGACCGGCTGGAGCATTGCACAGTACGGGTTCTATGTCAGATGAGACAAACAACATAAATGTCACGAGCCTGATCCCACAGTTGGCTTGTCAGGGGCAGGCGGATTCGGGATCTGTTGTCCGTCGCACTCGGTGAGCTTCTTCCTGTACAGCTCTCCGCCACAATTCTGCAAGCGAACGGTCGCTTGTTCGGGCGTGATGTCTCTCTGAGGTTCACCAAGCATCTCATACCCGACTAGGAATTTCCTCACGGTCGCACTTCTCAGTAGTGGGGGATAGAAATGTAGGTGAAGGCTTGAGCATTGGGTTTCCTCCTCGGTCCCATCGAGTGGCGCTTGGTGAATCCCCATGCTGTACGGGAAGCTTGTCTCAAAGAGGTTGTCATATCTCCTGGTTGTTTCGGCAATGGCCTCGGCCAAGTCCTTCTGCTCTTGCTCGCTCATGTCGATTAGAGAGCGGATGTGCTTGACCGGCAGAATCATGATTTCGAATGGCCAGGTTGCCCACCACGGACAGATGACCAAAAAAGTTTCGTTCTGAAAGACCACCCTTTCGCCTTTCTCTCGCTCCAGTCGGGCGTAGTCTACCAGCATGTGGCCCCCACCTTGTTGACGATGGTACTTCCGCAACTGCTCCAGCTCGATTCGAGCCTCTTCCGGCAATGACGTGGTGGTCCATATCTGGCCGTGCGGATGAGGATTCGAGCAGCCCATGGCGGCGCCTTTATTTTCAAATATCTGCATCCACCGATACTGTTCGTGAGGTCGTCCTACATCTGCATGAGGGTTCGATGGAGGCAGATGGGTGGGTTTTGCCAACCCTGCCAGAGGTGATCTAGGAGATAGATGTGCAGTATATATCTCCGTCCACGTTCTGATAATCGGCAGGATCTCGCCAGGAGCCATGTCCGCTAGCGTAACGTTGTGAGCAGCACTGAAGGTCAAGACATAGCATTTGCCCTTGACCGGCTCGGCTTGCAACAGCAGACCTGGCAGGCTTCCGGGCTCATCTGAAGAGGCGTAGTCGTCCTGCGATTCCTTGACGGCGCTATAGTCGTTGACGAAAACGAAGGTGTTGTCGTACTTGGGGTTGATGTCGCCTGAGGCCCTCGTGTTGCCCGGGCAGAGGTAGCATTTGGGATCGTATTCAGGCAGGTCAATGACACCGGGGCTTTCTTGCTGTCCTTGCCACGGTCTCTTGGTTCGATGAGGAGATACGAGGATCCAGCTTCCACGTAGCGGATTGTATCGGCGATGCGAGATGTCGTCTAGGATTTTGTCTGGCATTTTAACCAGCCCACCTTGTTGTCCGGTTGCTGGTTTCTTGCACAGAGACCACAGGTGGGCGTGCTCACCCTCTTATTTGCCCGATGTCACTATGAGAGGGAACGGATTGTGGGGATGGAAATACCAAAGTTTTCCGCCAGATTCCCGCCAGATTTCCTCTTGCTTCACGAAGCAGTCGGAGCCATGCGTTACTGTCGCATATGTACCATCTGCACGAGTTCTAGTCCATCGACGACTTTATAATCTCACAGTGACACTATGGTGGCTTCGGAGGCTAGTCTTCGTGGTCGAGTCACCTTCGAGCCCCTCCATAGGAAATGCCAGGGTGCATTACGTCAATGGCCCTATCGGCATCGGGAAGCCTATCATCATGCTGGCCGTGGTGTTGCTCCGAACTCGGTCCATGGCGGCACCGCCTGACATTATTATTACTATGCACTCATCCATACCCTCGAGATCATCTGTCCCCGATGAGTTGAGCCGAACGTTGGTCGCTTGTAGGCGGCCGTTATATCGCATCGCAACAGCAGATGAACCCACTCTCAGCAGGCCGTTGAGACGATATCCTTTGGTCTGCGCAACGCCCAATGGGCTCGGTTGCGCTCGTCCGTAACCATGGCGGCTGATTCTCATTGTTTGTACAGTCTCCCCAACGAGGTAGGCTTGCCCCTGTGGGACGGCTGGAACTACGCTGACTCGGTAGATCCTCGTCTCCATACTCTCGGGATTCGAGACTCAGTCACTTCTTCCTCTCGTGGTGGTGTCGCGACGCTTCCATTCCATCATACTGCGCATCTTGCATTTCCGGTTATTACTTGCCGCAGCACTACCGGACTACAAACTCATCCTCGAAGCATATCATCCAAGCAAGAGATACAGCGATCCGTACTTGTTCTGCACCTATCTGGGCACAGATGGTCTCAGCTCAAAACATGAAGGCGAGGGAAGCCTCTATGAAGACTGTGACGGCGAAGAAGGGAGATTCGCGAAGCTAGGAGCCTTGTACTCGCGATTTAGACCTGAGCGGCCAGGCGTCCAAGGGTCGATGCCGGCACGCCGCATTGCCGGTGCCGTGCCACACTCCCAGTCATCTTCGTCAAACACGACAACGCCGCTCTACGCTAATGACGGTGACGGCGGCACCAGGAAGGTTACTCACACCTTCAACCTTGATGCCGATGAGCTATTCGGCCAGTTTTGCGCCTATGCAAGCCTCGTCAGACTTGGGCCCCGTCGAGGTGTGTTTTTGAGCAACGTGCATATTGTCCGATCTGGCCAAGGTGTCATGAGAGTTTGGAAACAGTGGCTCCAGGATCGCGCCGTCGAGCTCTGGGAGCAGGAGCAGCAGACGGGAGTCCAGATGGACAGGACCTCGACCACAAGTTGTCCCACTATCGGCGCAGACAAGAACATCATGTGGACCGACTACAGGAAGAATGTAGGCTTGCGTGTCACGGTGCGTGACCAAGAAGGACGGTGTTATGGCAAGGATGCGTCGGAATTTGATGATTTGCCTATGAGTTTCGCGATAGAAATTGACGGTCAGTCCCTTGCGTTTCCACGGTCAGACGACATCTCACTCACCTTTTCCCATTGCAGAACTTGTTGTACGAACGACGCATCTGATGCTGGCTGTCGAAGCATCAACGCTGGATCAGGACAAAATCTCAGGTAAAGCTCTTATCTTTGGCAATTTCGCCACCGCAGCCTTGTCATAAGGCTTGCTTGGTCTGGGGCACGTGAGTCGCGCCTTGTTCTGACGACCGTCCATCGGATAGACGCTGGCATAGGAGACAGTCTGTTTGTTTTCACGTGGCGTACACAGGAGACGTATCCGCTGACTGCGCAAACAGGTCAGTCCTGGGTTTCGTGGACTTTACGGGAAGCGCAGTAGAAATTCGTGTACTTCGGCTATGTCTAGCTGCATCAGATAGCTCTGCTAGCACCTCTCTATGGTCGAAGCTCTATTTCTTTGGTTCCGAGCTTGAGCAGGGTCGCAAGAATGGCTTATCCATGCTGGCAGAGGGCGAACGATTTGCTGGCTCGTACCCAGATGAGAAGGAGGCGCCACGGTCCATGCGCAGCCGAAGCTACCATGTTCTGTTTTGTCTTCGGTCGTGGTTGCTGCTGCCGTGCTGTTGACTTCGGACCTGCGCTCTGCGCTCTGTAATTGCTGTCCAGGCTGCATTCGACCGCACCCTAACTCACAACTTTTACACCTTCCCTTTCCTCGGTTCTCGTCTCTGAACGATTGATTTCAGCCCGGCGATTCTCCTTTCGAAATCATGTGCGCCGGATGTCGACGAGCCCGGCAGCAACCGAGCTGCGAGCTGCAAGCCACGAGCTCGCGACCCACTCAGCCGTGTGGACGATGGTCGATTTCCAAGAGCTAGCAGCTGTCCGTCTCCCCTTCGCGAGCCGTTCGTCTTGATATTGGCCGATAAGACAGGATGGCTTGCATCAGGAAATACGTGGCATCCCGACCAGCGCACCGATGCGGTCGAGACTCACACCGGTCGCGATCGCCTGGTCGACTGAGGCTCTTCGGCTCGACAGACAACTGACCAGCAGCTGTAAGTGTACCCCGCTTTCGCTGGCTTGAGCTCGCAGCTCCCACATGGCCTCCATGCCAGCAACCCTCTGCTCTTCGTGTACGCTTTCAGCTCTAATATTTGAGCAGGATACCCCACGACTCATCTCAGTCTTCCTTTTGCCACCGTTGATCAACCCATCCTCAGGATTTCATGCATAGCCGCTCCGCCTTGAACATCCGATCGAGACCCTTGTAACCCCACTTGACCAAGCTGTGTACAACATCCCTGCCCGAGTCAATATGCCGCGGTACAGCTTCGAAATCCCAAAGGAAGGTGTGTCGAGGGAGGTCTTGGAGGCAGACCTGCCATATTACCTGGGTCGAGATGCAAAAGTAGTGGACAGCCATGTACGGTCACTTGCCTTCGGGCCACGGAGGATCCAGCTGATGGCGCACAGAAAGCCGACAAGTACCTCGTTGAAACTGTACAAAGGCCGTCAAGGGTAAGACTGGTAAGCTGGTTGGGTTGCAGTCGCTTACCATCACATAGTCGATCGTATCGTCACTCAAAGACGACACGTCGAGATGGCGTCGAAGTGAAGACTATAACAGGCGGTTGCGTGAGTCTCATCAGCGGGACGCTTGCCCATCAGCTCACAACGAACAGCGTATTCAGGAAGCCGTATCCATCAAGAGCGCAAGCGGGCTTGTCGTGCCCATGACGATGCCCACCATGCGACGACTGTGGCTCCGCTGATAGTGCCGGGAAGCGCAAGACCCCCTTTGTCACAGCGATACAGCTCGAGCGGCGATTCTCCGGTTTCCAATCACGAAAGTCTTTCTCGGAGCCAGTCGAGGCGTGAGTCTGATGCGATGTCGCCAATCGATGGTGGTGCGATCAGTCGTACAATATCTGTCTCCAGTGTATCGAGCGAGTATGGCAACAACGGCTCGTACGGCTGGAACAACGATCCCTCGTACGGAACAAATGGCGGTTATGGCTTTGCCAACTCCCATCGAAGACCATCCGCTTACAGCCGAACCTGAGCTGGACTGACATCAAGAATGTCTCCGGCCCCTTCGTCGCGGGCAGCTGGAGACTCAGTGGTGAGTGTACCGACTCAGGGAACCCCATACTGAGAGAGCTCTCGCTCACACCACTCTGGCAGCGTTTCCGCCTCGTACATCTTGCCTTGTGCTTTCAAAATGTCTCTCAGCAGCTGGAGAGAATGCTCTGATTTCGGGTTCTTTTCGCCCAGGACGCGATAACGTTCTGGCACCACCTCTCGCAGAACTTGCTCGCCCAGCTGCAAGTGGGCACCCTTGCTCAGACCGGTCTCCTTCTCCGCGAGCCGGAAAAGAAAGAACGCATGCCGGTGTTTCGCCTCCCAAACGTAAGGGTGGCTATCAACAAAGTTTCGCCGGACTCGAGGCAAGACGGATTGCACGATGATCTTCTCGGCTTCTTCAGCATCACCACAATAGAATGTGGCTCTCGCTAATGTGGCCGCTGCCATGATGGTTTCAATGCGGTCGTCACCGAAGTGGCGAGCACACTCCAGCGTAAGCTCCGCCAATTCCCTCCTGGCAGGCTCGAAGTTCCCTGGAGCCCACACTTGCTGCTTCAGCTCATTCTCCAGCATTGCCCATGCCAAGTTGTAGCGGGCCGTGAGAGCGGGCTTGGGTGATTCCGGAAAGCACACCTTCATGTCGACCACAATTTGTGCAAGTCGGGAGATATCATGTCGTGGGCAGCCCGGCCCGGCAAGCATGTTTCTCATGAACGCGATAGTCATTGTCAAGGGGTTGTCCAAGCCAAAGTGCTTCTTGGTCAAGTCATCACATCGCTTGAGCAGGTCAGAGAGCCTCCGCCATTGGCCATAGCAGTCGAACAAGACCGTGACGATGCTGAGAGCGCCGAGGCAGTCTTCTGCGGGTGAATATGCGTTGGTGAGCATGCACAAGAATGAGAACAAGGCACTGTTCAGGTAGTAGTCGCCTCTCTCTTGGAAGATGGCGCTATCCTGTCCGGCGCAGATCAACCAGTACAGGGAGTACATGACAAAGTACGCCGTGAGGGTGCCGTCATTCAGTTGTGGACTGTGGGTGTGATCACCAAAGCGGTAAATGTCAAGGTCGAGGTCTCCGAGCTGTTCCACGACTGCCGGTGTTACAGACAAAGCAGCGTGTGTGAAGTCAGCAGGCCACTGCCTACTGAGGTCGTTGTCGTCCCAGGAATGGCACCACCCGGCCGGCACTGCTGCCTGCTTCGGCCTAAATGGGCCCATAATATTGGGCATCGCTGGCTGGTTCCGCGCTGCTGAGTGCGTCTGTGCGTACGCATGGCTGAAGTGCGCAGGCAGAGCGTCACTGCGATACATCCCTCCTGATGACGGTGCCGGCTCGGCTAGCGAATTCACCCATTCTCCTGAATTGCGAGGGGTGTATTCGGGCGATGGTATTGGGACTCGCATCGGAGAAACCTGCCTGTGGGCAACCTGAGAGTGGACCGATCCGGATGGACTTGCTGAGGGTGGAGTCAGTGGCAGTTGAGGCGTCGTTGTCGGCGCGGACTCGACCTCGAGGGTGTGCAGCCTGATATAATGAGGGGTCTCTTCGTCGTCAGAGATGCAGGAGAGCAGGTGGTCCTCGTCGACGAGCTTTTCATTTCTTTGAATGTACTTGACGATATCCTCCCGCCGTCGGGGTTGGCCCGAGAAGATGACGACTTCCTGCTGTCCGTCGGTCCTTGCTTGGTTCAGGAGTCTCAGGATGAAGGCGGCGTCACGCTGGGTGAGCTTGTGCCTGAGTCCCCAGTTTTTCAGTTGGCTTTTGTACTGTTTGACTCTGATATAGCGGGTCAGTGTGTGGGCACGCCTATCTCAGGGGCGTGGGAACTTACGACAAGTTGAACTCGTGTTCCTTCTTCATGTGTTCCATGATCCATTTCAGGGGCCGGCCCTCATGGATATAGAACTGTTCTATCAGAGTCTGATACGGCCCGAAAGCGAGATTCCTGTTCTGTTTTGATTGGACTCGTTTGAACACCGGCCTAGGCTGGGACCGTGGTCGTGCCATGGTCGAAGGCATCATATGCCGCTCAAGCCACACATCTGCAACTGGGATAGGAACGTCTGGAGACGAAGCCAGCCTCAGGACCAGGTATACGGTTTGGCAGCAACTTAGAACGAACGCGAGATGCAAGGAGGAAGGTCACCCAATCTGCGGAAACCTACAGCGCTAGAATGCTGCAAGCCTGCGAGCCCAGGCATTCGTCGCGCGAGACAGGAATATCATATGGTTGGCTCAGTGGCAAACTCAGCGTTGCTAGCCTTGGGTGGCTTCGTAAACCAGGCGGAACGGCTGCCTGGTGGTGCGCCTTGCGCCCCAGGAGATAAGCCCGGCCACGGCTGGGACCGGCGCTTCCAGGGGTCCGTGGTGGAGCCCGGGGGGGGGGGGGCCTAGGTAAAGGCTTGGGTGTCGGTCCTGGGTACCTAATGCACCTGTGCAGCCCAAAGGTTCCGGTTCCAACTTGGGGCGCAGCCTTGCCTGTAGGGTACTGAGTACAGTATCTCAGGATGCACGCAAAGATTCCACCCAGCTTCTCTGGCTCTCGAGCATTGCCCTCCGAGCAGAATCAAGGCGTGTTTCAATATGAAGGATCCGAGTATTCCCGTGAGGACATCTGCCTCTCGAAAGTTCCAGTATCAAAGCACTAGCAGCGACACGGCGGTGGCGAGAATCAGCAGCTTACCTGTTCGGACCGTCACGGTCCTTTCTCGAAACGCAGTGCTGCCTGAGCAGGAGGGCACCAAAGCGGCTCACCAACCTCACTGGAGACGGAGGAAGACTTTGACTCACGCCCCAGCTATGAGACTGATGACAGGTGTCCGATGACCGATGACGGCAGAGATGGTTCGCATGGATCGCGCGCGTCCAAACCATCAAAGATTCCGGTGCAGAAGATCCATCCGAGGCACATACACAGTAGGACTGTAGACGCCCGCTTTTTCTGGCCCCCCAGGTGGCGAGTATCGCAAGGCAAACCTTCCTTCGCTTTCTCGTCCTGTTCGTCCACCATGCTTATGGCCCCCAACGTTCGGCGTCAGCTGGAAGTTGCCCGACGGAACCATTGAGGATGATTTAATTAGAAGCCGCGTGTCCCCTACTGTGTACTCAGTAATAAGGCCAAGGCCTTTTCTGTTGCAACTTCCATCATCGCTACGAGTGTGCTGCTCAAGAGATCTGGCAGGTCATTACGAGTACGAGGACGAGCTACAGTGCTGTATCTGGGAGAGAACTTTTGTTCTGGCGCTTCCCCACAGGTACTAATCGTAGCATTTTGGTGTCCCCGGACAAGACAACTCCGGGCATCCTGACTGGCTGCAGGGCGCCCCTAGACAGCGTCAGACAGTGCCTATTGTCCACTCCCGGGGGTCCTTGGCGGCTCATGACTCCCCCATCTGCCCATCTGTGGCTTTTCTTGGACGATTTGGAGAGGGAGCTTCGCACATGAACCTGGGGCTCTGCCTCCACGCCCTCTTCACTCGCTTGGTGATACTCCCTACCTCGTACTATGAGTCCACCGCAGGCGTTGAGGGCTTCTCCGCACAAGGTCCCCAAAGGTCGCCACGCTCTCGTTGATGCCTCATGCATGTGGCCTCGAACCTTTTGTGGCCTCCAACTTCTGGCACATCAACCACGAGGCCCGTCTCTGCTTACTCATTTCTCACACCGGGACAACCTAGCCAATGACCTCAAGCGGCGGTATGACTGTTCCTCTCGATGCGCGGACTAAGACATCCGAACTTCGTCACTGCTATCAAAGATCCAAACTGCCAATGTGTGAAAATCCCTACTACAACTGAGTTCACCATGGCGCTTTCGAGCACAAAGGGCCAGTGTATCATGACCTCGGTCCGTTGCCACCGTTACATCCTGCGGCTCTTATCCCCCCGGACCGCCCATCATATGGAATCTTTGTCGACTACAACGCGAGGGCAGAATAAATATGCGAGACACGGAGCTTTGGTGGCCACACCAAGGTGCGAGAATGACTTGAGGGGACTTTGGGGCCACACGGGAATTGAAGTTATTGCCAGCAACAACAGTGGCAGATCCCAGGAGCATGGACTCGACAACCATACAAAGGTAGAGTCGTTATAATGATGCTAACGTGCCCTGCAAGAACATTTTTTTTAATCTTCTTTTCCAGAATATCCCGTGCAAGCGAGCACGCTCTTGTTTGTTGAGCCCACTGCAATTGTGCGATCCAAAGTGACCGTGTCTTTAGAGCACGCTGCCATTGAGACCAGAATTCTCGGTCTGCTCCTTACTCCGTCTGTCAGGTGCTTCACTCTAAAAAAGACCGGGAGATACAAATACGTCGGTTGGGGCAACCGGATCCGAGCACGATCATTATCGCCAACGAGTGAGGACATTCATTGCTTTTTTTGGCTCCTCGATTGTCTGCCAGACAGACTCGGCGGCTTTCCCAGAAGCCGTAAGCAGGCCATCCGGACGATATGCCGCCTCCTCCCCCATCACCGCGCAACACTCCGTCAGCAGATCACCGCGCCTGGAGCACGGCCAGCGTGCTGAGCGGGCACACGAGTGGGCGGAGGCCCTCGGACCGACAGGGTTCTCATACACATTCACAACCTCGCCCGCAACAACACCCACATACGCAATCGCAATCGCAATCGCGGCCGGAGTCTCAGCCGCAGTCGAAATCAAGCGCCCAGTTCCAGCGCCGTCTGAGCTCCAAGAAGGAGCTCAAAGGAGGTATGACTGGGCGGTGGTTGAAGGAGGATTCGAGAAAGGACAGTCGAAAGGATTATGCCAGGGCGTTGGCTGTGTTAGAGCCTCGGCGCGACAGGTGAGGCGTGTGGAGGGAGAGGGAGGCTACTGTCCGAGCGTGAAGTAAGGAATTGAATTCGGATATGGATATGATATAGATACGATATGGATATAGAGGGAAGATCAACAGGCTCCGTGAGGACGGTTATACTTGGAGCTACTACTACTACTACTACTACTACTACTACAGCTTCGTCCTCGTCGTTGAATATGCATGCTCCCCAGAACCCAAAAGATGTTAGAGCCCACATACGACACACGACATACTACATAGATCCTCGAACAAGGCGATTAGATCATGCCTTGCAAATCGGCCATCGCGCTTCATTTACGCGCGTAGAATAAGCACGTAAGTAAGTAAGCAAGCATGCATGCATGCATGCACTGTACTCTACACTAACCACTAACCACTACCATCTCCTTTGCGTGAATGATTGCTCACAGCCGGCCTGCAGCTGAGTATGTACATGGGCATGCAATTCTAGTCACAGCCACCACGAGACACCTGCGATGCTCGTCACGACCTGTATTCTATATCCGAATGAGTACGGAGTACCGAGGCACACACTGCATATTGAGAAAGTCAACGATGTGAAGCATGCTTTGGTATTCTAGGACCGAGCACAGACGAGCTTAATTAAGCGCGCTTGAGTACTGTGTGTTGCGTACGGAGTACATTTCTGAACTCGTCCTCGTCCTCGTCCTCCGCACAAGTACAGTACAAGATCAGGGTCGCTCTTCGATTCGAAGCTCACTGACGTGTGCAAGCTCATCAGACACTACGTCCAATCCTTAGTGTACATGGTACGCTAGCTGGCCACCTCGAAATTACTCGCATAAACATACTTTAAGTCATCACGTTGTCAAACTCTCTCCAGACGCGCTTGCTGTTGTCTCGCTAATTATCTTACTGGAAGGAATGAGAAGAAGACATCGACGAATACTTCGAAGCACAGATCAACGACCACAGCGTAGAAAACATATATACACATCCTACCACCTCCCCCGCCAACTCTTCTCAAATGCTCGAGATTCCTCCTCGGCCCGCTCCAGCGCGCGGCGCCACTCCCTCTCCATGCGCCGCGCCAACTCCTCCCTCGTCTCGATGGGATTGCCGTGCTCGTCCGTCTCCGTGCCGGGACTCTCGCACCCTCGGAGGCCAATGAACCTTCCCCACCTGCGGCGTTTGGTCTCGAGATCAACGTCGATCTGGCGATCTTCGTCGTGCAAACTGGTCCAAGCCGGTATGCACGCCGGGTAGAGGAACGTCTCCTGCACGGCGGGTTCGACCTGGTGGTACCACCGCGCTAGGCTGTCCAGCTGGTCGTGCGTCAAGAGGTGGTACTGCAAGAGGCTGGTGGGAAACTGCGGGTGCGGGAGGCCCGTGGCCACCGAGATGAGCGGCACGAGGGGCGTGCGCAGGTGGTCGACGCTGTGCAGGTAGTTTTGTCTTTGGCGCTGTGTGCGCGGGCTGGCGGCAGGGGGAACCACTGTGACGTGGTATCGAGGGGGCTGGGGAAGACGCCCGGCGCCAGGAAAGCGCGAGAGTCTGGGCCGCTTGCGGATAGGCGACCGCGTGGTGATCGGGGTAGGGGTGTGCGAGCGAATGAGACGTCTGGGGTTTGTAGCGGACGCGGTAAACGCTGTTGCAGTAGTGGTCGTGGTGGGAGCCCAGTCAATGGGTGAGCTGCCAGAGGGGAATCGGGTGGATGAAGAGTCCTCTTCCTGCACGTTAGGGAGATTGGTGTTGACGCGCAGGGGTAGCGTCATCGTTGTCCCGCGCCCATGCCTTGGACTGCGCATGGCCATGCGGCTCTGACGACCATCTTGGGGGAAAGTCGCGGCTGTGGGTGTCTGCATGTGCATCGTATGAAAGTATGATCTTTCTGGCGTGCGGATTGAATAGGTGGAATATACGGGAGAAGTGATCGGCGAGGTCAGGCTATTCCGCCGGCATGTTGACCCATTGCTGAGGCGCCATGGGGCTGGATTACCGCCTGATCCGGGTGTCATGAGCATGGCAGAGAGGGATGCTTGTCTGTGGAGCATATGCTCTGGAGAGAAGCTGGTCACCAGCTGGGGCAGTGGCGATATCATGGGTGTGTCGATGGCCATTGGCGAATAGGGCGATCGCGGCGATGGAGATGGCATCGGAGACTCTGGGCTCGACGGATCCATGGCTGCGAAGTGGTAGAAACTGTATCAAGGTAAGTGCGATCGCTAGAATGGCACGACAGGAAGGTGTATGCTGAGAAAGTCGCTGTAACAAGAGCAGCAAACGGTTATGAGATTGGACAGGCCAGGCTAGAACCAGGCCGTCTTCTTGAAGACAATGGCTTTGCTTGTCCCTGGAATAGAGCATCAAGTCATATTTCTCTTCCATGGTACCAAAATACACAGTATGCATTCCATTGTGATCAGACGCGGCATCATCAGCTTTTCTTTGTCGAGAGGTCGCCGTCGTCTGAAGCAGACAATGGACGCACGTAGCCACCTCATGTTCGGGCCTCCGGAGGTGTGGAAACACTTCTCTTGGGCTTTCATGTCGAGTTGGCAAAGATGGAGCGATTTTGAACCATACACGGGTCGACAGCCGGACTGCAGCAGACGTTGAAAGCGGCAACATCTCCAAAGTCACCCACTGGCTGTGTGGTTGCAATGGACTCGAGGACGAAAGCGGTGGCTCCCTCACGAGGTGTCCGTGCGCTTTATCATCTCAGGCCATTGTTCGGGAATTGCAGAACATCCAACTCCATGGACACGACCTTGGGAAGATAGCCCTTGATACCATCGGAGTTGAACCAGGGGAAGCTCTGAAGCGACCAGAATAGGAGATCCGCTGAATGATAGCATCTCTAGCTTTTAGCCCTGCAGCTATTACACGTCACGATTGTTGTACCTGAGAGCCAAGCCGTGGCTTTGTCAGAGATGTCAGGATAGGGTATTCAGCCGCTGTCAGTGATTCATGTACACGCAAGGTACACGCAAGGCAGATGTGAGGTGGACGTGTTTCGCAAGTCAATCGTAACTGCATGGTAAGTGAATTGTAAGTGAATTGGAGATGACTTGCAAGTGAATTGTCACGGGTCCTGCTGTTGACCGTCTTGGCATGTCTTGGGCTGCATCAAGTGGTTGAGCAAGAGGCTCCCACGGTGACCATTCGCTGTGACTGGCCGCCTCAGGATTCATCAGCTCGCTGGTGATCGTGTGTGCTGGGTGTCGGTATTGCGACCATGAATTGCGTGTGCTTTTCTGGGGTGCGCGTCCCCCAATGTCCGGGTGAAGATCCAACCCCCAGGGGAACGACAGACCCAATACCAAGCATATAGCTCCTTGTCAGAAATGCATAGAAGCCCTTGGCGCCTGTGTGCCTGTGTTCCTCGATCTTGCCGCATGCACCCTCGGAGCAGGACCGATGCTTGATTTGGGCAGGAGAGAAGCAGGACGCAAGCTCCGGGGCAAATGGCCGCGGCTGGGATTCACCAAGCAATTGGCAGCTTTTTAGCCTCATCTCTGCCACTGATTCGCTCAGCTGATGGTTGTCCCTCTTCTCGTGCCTCCGACACATCTTCGTCGACGGCAGCGGGCTGCTCAACTAAACCTTAGTACCGACTACCTCCAACTTGCTGAACGTCCCATCTCACCTCCTTCGCTCTCCTGCCCCGCCATCACCACCTCCGTCTCGCTTCTCCCTTGATGTCTATGCGAGCAACATGCATCGAATTGTGAGTCCAGCTTCCGCACGAAGACACACTGCCTTTCCTCGTCTCTCCCCGGACCCTCGTCAGAGGTCAGACTACACGGCCCAGCGCACATAAGCCCCCACGTCTAGATTCCACCATCTCACCTGCCTGGACCGTCAATGATACCGCCAGAGTCTAGCCCGCCAGATCACCTTCCTTGACGCCTCGCCCACGGGCTCGAGCGTCGCCCCGCAGTCATGGTACTGTGCCTCGGAAGCAACGACGAAGAGCCCCCCGACGAGTACGACCAGCTCCCTTTCGGCCTGAAATGGCGCATGCACTGGGCCAAGAAAGAGACCGACCCTCGCACCGGCGAGGCAGTCTTGCGTCTCGGCAATAACAGAATCCTCAAGACTCATTGCGCCAACACCGAGTACCAAGCCCTGATGCTCATTGACCGGCACACTTCTGTCCCCTCGTACAAGGTCCTAGCGGTGTACAACAGACCCGAAGGCAAATTGGTCGAGTACGAGGCCTACCCAGGGAAGCCCTTACAGGAATGTTGGTCTTCAATGCCGGCGCACCAACAGAACAAGATAGTCTCACAGCTGGGGCGCTTTGTCGAACAACTGAGAAAGATGCAGCCACCAAAGCAATGCGTAGTAGGAGATGCCACCCTTGGTGCGGCCCTGGACCACCGGTTTGGCTCTGGGAGAATAGGGCCCTTCTTCTCAATCGAGGCGTTTCAAGAGTTTGAGCGCAGAGGCCATTCAGTAGACGACTTCCCGGAGAAAGAGATTCAGATGGTTCATGCGCCCAAGAAGCCATACCAACTCAAATTCACTCACGCCAGCCTTTGTCCTCAGAACATCCTGGTAGATGACGCCGGACGAGTAACAGCCTTGGTCGGATGGGAATCGTCTGGATGGTACCCTGAATATTGGGAATATACTCAAATGTGCCACTTGACCCCAAAGACCATGGGAGATTGGCTCGACGCAATGTGCAGAGTCGTCCCTCGATATGATCAAGAGCTGGCTTGCGAAGAAGCATTACGGGCACGATATACAGGCTCCATATATGATGCACCGAGAAGTGTGAGGGCTCCAAGCCCTTCACCTAGTGAGCGCCATGCAGAGCAGCAGGAGATTGACGACAAGAACACCTCCGATACAAGTGGATAGTGGTCTCAATCGGCGAGGCTCTGACACCTGCGGGACCATTCTACAAGTTGAACATTCTGAGCTATATTACCTGGAGGGCAAGAACGTCTGTCTCCACTGGCGACACATCCATCTCAGATTTGAGTCCCTGCCGCCATTGCGAGCAACACGAGATCACTTGACAAGACAGCCCAGCTCCAGATCTCATTAGTACCTGCTCAGATTGACATGGATCATCCAGACTTCAGGGATCGAGCAGTGACTCTGAGGCGACAACGCCAGAGATACTTCCTGGCCCACTCACAGGGTGTGGGCTCTGATTCATGTCGCGCTGGAAACAGAGTAACTGCGCCGCCAAATTCCCAGCCCACCCGGTGCAGTACCTCCCAAACCATCTGGCCGATCTCAATCATGGGGGACCGAGCCAATTCCTTGGGGTTCTAGCAACGCCATGTTCAAAGTTCTTGGATTACTGTTGTACTGCGGCGTCACGGCGCAAAGTTTGAGCGTTTCGGCGAGATTGCCAGTAGTTTTGGTTCTTTCTTCTGGTTTAGCATAGCAATGGCGATGGACGGGCTTCTCACTCAAAGCACAAATAGGACGGCGTCGAGAAGATAGGTACGTATGTGGAGTGGAGTACAGTACTGGATTATGTAGCGAGTGCCATCAAGGGCCGTCTAATATAGCGACTTTTGTCATGAGATGGACGGGGCAAGGGCCGCGATTTGACAACAGGATATAGGAAATCGGTTATCAGTAGACGTTGGACGCTCAACACATCAGATTGCATATGCAGCAACACGCTATACATGACTACTTCTCAACATCAACATTTGAGTTCTGAAACAGATAGTTACCCTCCTAATTGTTTTACTTCCATACAAGTCGAGAAGACCAGCTGCCTCACTTCCACCCACGGTAAGTGGACTCGTACGAGACCGCAACCAACGGCATACATGGCCCCTGGAGCCTTTTTTTTCTCAACCGACTCACCAGATTTTCGCGCGTCCCCATCAAAATCATCACATACGGGGTATACGTGATCTGATCTGACCCGACCCTACCTGAGACATGCTAAACTATCACCAAGTTCGCAATCCTCACGCCCTTGGTCTCGACGTGGTACCGTCTCTTGATGCCCACGCCCACGGCCCTCTCCTTCAACGCGTCGTACACTTTGTCCCCACCACCCACCAGGACCATCGGGATCGGATTCCGCCGATAGAGTCCCGCGGGCGTGATCTGCTGGCGGGGCAGGAACGGACGCACGAGGTCCGCTTCGTCGTGGTCGGCGCCAACACGGCCCTGGTCGCTGTCCTCGTTCCCGTCGTCTCCGTCGTCTTCAGCCACCCCCTGGTCCTGACCCTGCTCGTAATTCACTACCACGACGAGCTGTAGGGCGCTATTTCCGGGCGTGAACGCAGGGATGTTCTCCAATTTGTCCGACCAGTCGCATCCCCCGCGCTTCACCACAAGGACTTGATGCGTTCTGACCACGGAGAGGGGGATCTTGTGGTCGCAGAGCTGGTCGGTCGCGTAGATTTTCGTCCACGGGAGGGGCGGAGGAGACGGGCTGTTCAACGGCACGAAGTTGGGGACTTCGGGCCAGGAAGGGAGCGGGGCGGCGCCGGGCCCGGTGGCTGTTACGGCGGAGAGGTGGTAGCGCGGTTGACCCTGGCCGTGGCCAGGGGATGAGGTCGAGGTCGAGCGCGAGGAGGTGGCAGCGCGTTTCGTGGGGGTAGTGAGTGAGAGAGGGGTTGAAAACGGCCATGTTGCAGGGGGCCGAGTATCCTTGATGAGACTGGAGATTTGGGATACAATGGCATTCCAAGCCGCTCTCATGGCGTTGTCATTCGATGCTTCACCGAGGATGGGGACCTCGATGATGAGTTCGGGTTGGTCGTGGTCGTCCTGCGATGGTTCAGCTTCAGCGGGAGGGTCGGGCTCTTCGATGGCGCTGTTCAGATCGACTACCAGGTCGAGCATGACGTGATCTTTGAGCCGAGTGAAATTCGGATCTGCGGGACTGAGTACGTCCTGACCCGTCTCACGGCCCAAGTAGATCTTCTCATCCTTTCCAAGTGGGATATTGTTGATGGTCTGAACACGCCATGCATCGTGGAATCCATCCTCAAACAGCCATGGTGTGTCTTGTACCATACCCAGGCGTAGGCCACCAATTGCATTTATTAAAATGCCGTCTTTGACGCGTTGTAAAGGTGGGGCATTAATTCCCGGCGCTGGCATCGCTGGAAAAGAGATGTCTAGCGTCGGTCTCGTTGGTATAACGGAGCTGGTCGCATTCCAGGGGACGAGTTCTGGCGGCAACGTCCATGGGTAGTACGTATAGTTCGAAGGAGAGCTGATGTCCGATACGGTGATGCTCGGGTGATCCGCGGCGTATTCTCCCAGCACAGACTCGATCTTGTCGCGATGTGGCATCAGGTGCAGTCGCGCGAGGTTGGCTGCGTGGTACACGTCGCCTCTTGCAGCAACGTTGGAGACAGTGAAAGGCAAGGACGGCGACCTGACGGGGCAGAACGACTCCTCTTCCTGCCTAGGCCATGAAGGTCCCTGAGGGATATCGTGACCAACACTTCGTGGAATGACCAGTGGGTGACCTTCGGTCGTGAACACGAACGGCTCGTCGAGATGATTTAAGGGATGGCTAGGATCGAAGAGCAGAAACAGGTACTTCGCTGTTTCCCCAAGGAAAAAGCTCTCCATTCTGTCCGTTTGTTCCCCTGTGAGCACATTTTGAATACTAGCCCAGCCACACCTGGTCCAGCATCTCCGCTTGATGTCTCGGAGGACCATTTCACCGACGTGGAAATACCATGGGTCCTCGGTGGCGCGATAGAGGTAGTAGGTGGACTCAATGAACTCTGGTCGGCCCACCCACCAGCCGAGACCACCCTCGATCCCGCCAGAGACTAGATTCCAACGTTCAGGGAGAGCTGAAAACCTTGTCCAGAGCGCTGTTTGCAGGAGATGCGTCTCAATGGCTTCTTCGACTTCACCGGCGAGGGCCAAAAGACCGGGGTAGTATGCGCTCAGAGCGTCAACCCAGAACCCTCTGGCGGCCCCAGTGACCAGGTCAGCCTGGATGTAGTGTGGATGTTGATATGTTGTGTCCCGGTAGAGATGTCTCTTAATCGCAGAATGAGCGGTGTTCCAAGCGTTGAGAAAGGCCTGAGGAGTCTCATCTCCCGGTGAGATGGGACCATGAAGCAGCCTGGGATCATGGGCCTCGTCAACACCGTCGTAAACGGGACGGGCTTCGCGTGACAACAGGATGTGCGATTTGAGGGCATACTCAAAGAAGCTATCGATGCCAGCACCGATGCCCGTCCACGTACCAATCCAGTTCCCACTTTCCGCGTCAATGCCGCCACCAATGAGATCGATGCTGCTTCGTCTCTGCCATACAGCCCAGAAAGCCCTCTTGGCCAACTCCTCAAAGCGTGGATCTCCAGTGAGGCGGCTTAGCACGGTAAACTCAAGGACCAGACTTCCGGCGCCGGCGCTGCACGTTTCTGTGATTTCATGAGCTCCAGAAGGGGCTGAGCATCTGCCATCTTCGCTGCCCGCATTCAGAGGAGAGTTGACATAAAATGGTATGCCGTGCCGGAGATTTACCCGGGGATAGGGAATACCAGTTGAAGACCAAAAGGCCGGGAGCAGGCGACTTCCCAGATCATATGCCAGCCTCAGAAGTTGGCCGTCATACTCAAACGCATTAGGCCAGAGAATACCCTGCTTCTTGCCATGATATTGATCCTTGTGCCATGCTTGTGCGTAGGCAAGCTGATTCCGAGGAGGGCGGTAGCCGTGGATGGGGAGGTCGCCGACCGCGAACAGGTGGGCGCTCAGCAGGCCACCTAGTCCACGTATCGCCGTCTCAAAGACCTGGACCTTGCTGTCAAGGTCAAATCCGCGCGCTCTTGAGCCTTCACCTGCCCAACCATCAGAGCCATCGCCGTACTGCGCAACCAAATCCCTCACACTGTCTTGAAAGAGTCGGAGAGGTTTGTTTTGTCTCGGGCTTGATGGGTTCGAGGCCAATATAGCGAGGGTCGAGAGACTATCGATGAGGGTCAAGGAATAATTTCCCAGAGGGTCATTAACTTCAATGTGGGTAGGATTCTCGCTGTCGCGTGTAAGGGGCTTGCAAGATATCGGCCGCAGCTCGTCTTCTGGAAAAGCATAGGTCATGTAATTCTCAAAGCCATGGTAGAAGAGGTCCTCAGCCTCCTTCCTCAACGCTTTGATCTGACCGGGTGTTTGAGCCTGCACAACGGCTGCCGAGGCCAGACTGGCAATCAGAACGACCACCAGGATGCCCCTCAGCCATTCCAGTAGCGGTGCGGTGAAAAGACTTGTCGGCAGTGATGTAGCTGGAGGCGTCACATGGCGGCAGATTATGCGCATGGCACACTCGCAGGAGTCTGTGCCACCGACCGCATATCAAACGGTCGCGTGCGTGGTGTTGTTACAAATCGGTTTGGCGGCTTGAGGTGGCGCTGTGTGCTCAGTCAATGAACCGATTATGCGCAAACACGTGATGGTCCAGCTTGGGCCTAGTGTCACTTGGCGTCGGACTCAGGGATAAAGTCGCACCGAGAGCAGCCCGAGGAGCTGGAAGAGCGACTGCACAGTATTCCGTACTGTGTACGGAGTACCTGCAGGTGATCTCGCTGGAATGGGACAGTAGTCTTTAGGGTATGTGTTCCTACGGATGATCTCAGAGGGTTCGCCATTTTGGTCAATTCAACACTCCAAGTTGGCCACGGAGCAGCAGCGTTCCAAAGCTTGAGGGTAAATGTCCGAAGTTTGGTCTCGATGGTAACACTCTTTACTTGTTCATGTTGTCCATGATACTAAGGTGGACCTAGAAAACGATGGATACGAGGTTGGAGAACCTCTCGGAAACAAAGGCGAGTTGCCGTGATGGATGCGGGCAAAGATGACTGCCGCATGGGTAATATAAAGCTGTTCAAACCCCCATGCGATGGACGTGCCCCCACGTCCAGGAGACATCTCGCGAGACACTCGACGATAGTTTGACGATCACAGACAGCTACCCGACTCTCAATACCCCTCCGGGCACGATGAAAGTGTTACTCACTGGTGGTAGTGGCTTCGTCGCCGTGCATTGCGTTGATCAGTTGTTGCAACACGGGTATTTAAATCCATCCATGTGACACTTGGGGCTCACTAGAATTAACATTCTGTCAGGCACGAGGTGGTAGCTACTGTAAGATCTGATGAAAAGGGTGATTATCTTCAAGAACTTTTCAAGGGGAAGCCTCTATCGTGTGTGATAGTCAAGGATATCGCAGCCGAAGGCGCGTTCGACGAGGCTGTCAGGGCAGAGCCGCCCTTCGAAGCGGTGGTGCACACGGCATCGCCCTTTCACTTCAACATCACCAATAACAAGGATCTGCTCGATCCTGCTATCAATGGAACGGCAGGGATCCTGAAAGCGGTCCACAAGTCAGCGAAATCAGTCAAACGCGTCGTGATCACGTCATCCTTTGCCGCCATTTCGAACTATAGCAACCCTCCAAAGGTGTACACCGAACAAGTCTGGAATGACCAAACCATGGAGGAGGCATTGACGACAACCAATCCACAGGCAGCGTATCGGGCCAGCAAAAAGTTCGCGGAGAAGGCGGCGTGGGATTTCATGGAAAACGAGAAGCCCGGTTTTACTCTGGCGACGCTATGTCCACCCATGATATACGGGCCAGTCCTGCATCAAGTCAAGTCGCTGGATGATCTGAACACCTCAAGCGCAAGAATGCTGAGACTCTACCAAGGTATCCCACGATCTGGCCCGGTGGGATCGCCGATGCATGTCGACGTGCGCGACTTAGCTTTGGCTCATGTCCTGGCAATCGAAAACCCCAAAGCGGCGAACCAGAGGTTCTTAATGGCTGCCCAGTTGGCAACGGAGAAGGAGCTTCGCGACATCATGGAGAAGAACTTCCCAGAGATCAGGGGAAAGCTGCGTGATGAGGTGACGGACACGCTTCCACCATGGAGCATCGATAACAGCAAATCCATCAACATGCTGGGCGTCAAGTACAGGCCACTCGAGGACACCGTTGTCGACACCGTTAAATCTTTGAAGGCCCTTGGCGCTTAGAGCGTCTCTCCTCGCGCCAGACTCATGAAGAGTAGATATAGACATAGATTGGCATGGGTCGTTGCGGACAAACGGTTGAGAGTACAAAAAGAGTAGACCCAAGCGTCCGTTTCCCTCACCTCCTTCACTCCATGGTCAAGCATGCCGGGACGTCACCGTCTAGCCTTATGGGTGAATCCGGGCATTTCTTTTCACCAATGATGAGGCAACACAGGTGCATAGGTGCTCTGAGAGTCATGGATCCCAAGCCGAGGTAATCTGATATGTCGCGAAAGCGGACAATGGCAATATCCTCAGCCGCGATCGTTCAGTGCCTCCCAGGTCAAGATGCTCCAGCATGATTGCATTAAATCATGTCCTGCAAGATGAGTCTTGATTGAAGTTGAGTCGGAGGAGAGAAGTCGAGGAAGCCAGAGCGAAATGGCGGTAGAACTATGTTCCTTCAGACAGTGCAATATACCTCCATCCCGAGATCGCTAAGGGGCTGGAAACATGTCACCCCATCGGTGGTAAGAGCACTGGAATCCGAAGCTCAATTTCGTTTTCGTCTATCTAGCAGTACTACAACTCATCTTTGACGCTCTTCGTTGCCTTGGGTGCGGAAATGGTAACCGTGGATGAGCCTGCTGAGGTTGCAGATGTCGACGTGTTAGTTCCAGATGGACTGCTGGGACCCGCGGAAGTAGACTTGCTCTTCTTCGGCTTGCCTTTCGCTCCCTTCTTGCTACCGCTGGCCTTTCCCTTTCTGGGTATGTCTTGCATCTTGATCGTCTTCATGATCGTCTCAGACACTAGTCGTTGCAGCTCTTGGCCCCTGGACTCGAGCTCCGAGACCAGAAACGCTGGATCATCGTGTTGTCCCAGCTTGTCCTGCAGGGCGAGTTTCTCGTCTAGCCACTTCTTCACCTCGTCATATTTCGTTGTTAACATTGAAAGATCCTCATTCGTGTATTCATAAGGCTTGATCGCCGGTGGTTCATCCGTCTGTGCTGCTTCTGCTGCCGGGGTGCTGCTATAAGGGTCGTCATCCAGATCGTCGCCCTCTGCAACAGAGGAAGAAGAGCTTGCAGAGACACTGGAGCTTGGAGACGAAGCGGCTTCGCTGGCGCTCGAGGAAGCATCCTCTGCTGCTCTCTTGATGCTTCCCTCGACCATTGTGATCATGCCATTCAAATTCTCTAGTCCCTCCTTGAGAGCCCTGACAGCGTCAGGACGCTTCGTCGACTCATCTCTACGCTTGAGAACGGGGTCAACCAGATCCCGGAGGCTCTTCAGCTTGTCTTTGAAATCTTGCACTTTGGCGTCAAAGCCTTCACCATACAGCCATTCAGATATACTAGCCAGCTGTTTCTGAAGCTCCTTTCGAGCGGCATCGCTCGAGACAGCGATGAAACTTTCGTCCTCAAGATAGTCTCTTGCTTGGTAGGTGAAAGCCTCGAGGGTATTCAGTGCTTCGGCCCGTAGCACGGCATTCTTATCAGATGCGTCGAACTGAGACAGGCGCTGTCGGAGACGAGGGAGAGTCTCGCTGGGTGGAGAGTTCAGACCAACCACGGTTGATTTCAGAGATAGTGGTACAGAGGCAACTGATGGGGCAGCATTCACGGCCCGGGCAGCTTTGGTGGAGTAAGACAGAGAGGACGTGACGCCTGATGATTCCGCTGGGGACGGCGAAGCCGATGATATGGTCGATCCAGAGCTTGTAGGGTCAGACACAGGCAACGGAGTCAGAGATTCGGAAGTATCCTCAACCGCGTCGTCGTTATCGACTAGCTTCTGATCGTTCTCCTTCTTGCCAAAGCCAAATAGTCCTTTGACATTGTCCATGACGGTACCGCCTTTGGCGCTTTCCACTTCACAGCTGACAGATCCAGTTGTGACCTCCGGTAAAGCATCCACAGGACTTAGTCGCACCGTAAAGACGGTGCTGATGTTTGACGCTGAGCATCTGTGCTTCTCTTGCAATTCTGCAACAGACTTTGTCAGGTTCAAAGCCTCGACTTGCAGGATAGTTACGTCCGAGTCCTCGACTGTCTGAGAAAATGACAAGGTCACATCCTCCAGAGTCTTGATCGGTACTTGTTTCTCGATTCCGACTTGAGAAGACGGAGCGAACAGCTTCTGCGACTTTTCCTTGTTGTCGGCAGTCCACTTCAACATGAACGAAAAGCTTGAAATATCAGTGTCGCGAATATCCTTGACTCTGAAGCTTGGGCTGAGCGAGGCGGCCTTGAAAGCAGCCCCCATGACGGCAGCCTCGTCCGCGTTGACATTGGATTTTAGTTGCGCAGGTCGAAGAGCCACTTTCTCGAGCTGCTTCTGCACGAAAGGAGTTCTTACTGCGCCTCCATGTAGGATGATCGAGTCAAGGTCGCCCAGCTGGAGTCCTGCAAATTGGACAGCAGCATCGACAGGCGCCCTAACACGTGCAGCAAACTCTGCGGTGAGCTCTTCGAATTTGTCTCTCGTTAGACTGTATTTGAAAACAATGTCATCATCGTAGAGTCCGTCAAATGTAGCTCCGGCCGCGGCATTGGCGCTGAGAAATTGTCGAATCCGCTCTGCTTCCTTCCAAATCCTGGCCATTGCCTTGCCATTTGCCCTGACTTGCCCCATCGTCAATCCTAGCTTTTTCACCTTGGGCGATTCGACAAACTGGGCCACGATGTCGTCGACGATAACATCATTCAGAGAATCACCTCCCAGTGTTGCATCAAAACCTGTTCCAAGAGCGATGACTTCTTGGATTGTCGAGTTGCGCTTCGTAGGTCCTTTGATGGTTCTCCCTTGAAATTTGAGCACCGTGGCGGTCGTGGAGCCTGCACCCATGTCATAAATAAGGTGGTACTCGGGCTTCGCGCCATCGGTAACGCTTTCAAAGGAGCGATGGGTCGCGTAGTTGAGCCCGACGGCGAGTCCGTCGCTGACGAGACCTAGTATTCTCAACCCTGCCAAATCCGCAGCCAGTTCAATGGCTCGCTTCTCCTCTGCAGTATAGAATGACGGATGGGTAATGACCACGTCTGTGACATATACGCCTTTTGCAAGCATGGCTTCGGCATTGCTTCTGACATTCTTCAACTCCATCGCCAAGAGCTCTTCCACCATGAAAACTTCCTCCTTCCCACGGAAACTCTGGCTCTTGAAACCCACCGTCCCGGCTTTTTCGTCTGTGGCATCACCTCTTGGCACGGCCTCGATGTTCAGCCCAGGATACCGTGCGGCATATGTCTTGACAGCCGGCGCGGAGTATTCCACTCCAAGCAGGCTCTTCAGGTTG